TTCACAAGTTACCGAATCTCCGTGTTGAGATCCCTAATGTCGAATCGTCTATCTGCTCAGGCTTGAGTGCCAATGATCGTGGAGCGGCGTTAAAGTCGCCGACTACCATACGGTTTTCACCTCAGGTGCACACCTATTTCAGGGTGATATCCTACCGGGGAACTTCACAGGGGGTATATATACATCAAATATTTAGAGCTCAACGTCACCTGACCTACGTGGATGGTATCCTTGCGGTCGATGACTGATTCGATGAAACCATTCTGCATGACATGCTAGGCCACCACCATTATTTCGCTGCGATCTCGACGGTGCGCATTGTATCCGCCGCAATTCAACAGTGGTGAGCCGCTGTTCAATTTCATATCTGGGACAGCAGCTATTAATATTCCTTGCCGAGTCATAAAGACGAAAATCTCTTCGATCTTACTCTGTAGTACGTTACAGTTAAATTGTAAAACCTTCGTGTGTCCTAGAAAGTGTTGGGTGTTGCCTGCCCGCCATTTGATGTGTGTGCTGCTGTGGGGGTTGCTGCCGAGTGGGCGGCGTCGCAGTAGGGACTGGCGACCGAGCAGCACAACACCGACTCTCATATTCCCTCGTCCAATCGCGCGTGGTGCCCAATCCTGAACTTGCCCTAAAGTGACACCAACCAAGGCAGGCATTGCACTTGATTGATGTCACGTTACGTAATATCTTGGTCTGACGTACCGAGAAGATTGTTGGAGGAACCAGGACTTGTTGGCGGCGGCGTGTAGGTGGTGGTGGAATTGTCTGTCTGTGGTGTGGTCTATTGTGTATGTGGTGTGGTCTATTATGTTGTGTTGTGTTGTGGTGCGGTCGTGTTTGTATTGAGTTGCTCAGGCGGACTCTGGTGTACCGTGGAGGAAACTCGATTTAAGCACGTATAACATAAGGCGCGCAAGCTCGGAGTTGACTCCCCCCCGTTACAGGAATTACTATTATTAGGTGGAGTTTAGGGTGTAGTCGTCCTTGGCACGCGTAGGAGGTGTAGGTTTCTGGCCCAGGATTTGACTCAATGCCAGCCCTGAGCTGAAGTATGTCAATCAGGGGGTCTACTCTGTATTGCGATTCGAAACTCGATGTAATTTGAAAGGCGACACGGACTAATATAAATAAGTAGGGATGTGCCGGATAGAGATTTTGCCGCATAACCGGATTCCGGATATCATGTAAAAAATAAGAGCCGGATTCGGATATCCGGTAGACTACTGCGCTTTATAAATTTCAAAATTTGTTATATTTTCTGTTTAGCGACATACTTATGACCAGATTATCTGTTTTATCGAGCTGAACTATCCAATGCGTAATTAAAAATACAAAATATCTTCCCTAATATCCAAGTAATAAAATAATCATTTATTAAAAAAATAACTTTTACGTCCACCAACTTTATTTATCGATTATTTTTGGCAAATAGAGAAGGAATTAAAAACAAAAGATAAACAACAATGAAAGCTAACATATCGTCCCGCTTCCCGCATCACCCCGTAATGCTTCATTGTTGCAAATAGGGAATCCAATCCCGCAATCTTGCGTGATCGAGGACATCAATCCCGCGGATCCGCGCCATTTGCGGGACTGAAAAAAATCATATTATTTCCTCTAAATAGTTATGTTCAAAATTAATATGTAAAAAAGACGATTTTATTTAGAAAATCGACGTATTTACTTTTAATTGGGTTGAATTTTTTGATAATATATCCGAAGGAATGAGTCTTTAAAGTTTCATCTTTTAAGTTCGACCTTATTTTATTGCACAATCAGGAACTTTTGATTTTGGTGATTAAGTATGCATAGTTTCGTAGGTATATAGTCAAAATCGCCATATCTGTAGGGTATTTTTCAGAAGAAATACATATATCATAATAAGAGTTACTGTAGTGTTTTATCCGATCTGAAATAATACCCGCTCGCTGTATTCCCAAAACTAGCTGAAACATCAGTGATTCTGGATTATACAAATTTAACAAAGTTTTGTTGTTTTTCCGCGTAACTTTTTTACCGTTTGATATTTGAAAATGACGTTAAAGTAATATATTCTATGTAACATACTCTTACACCAGAGCTGAATGTGTGCCTCTAATAGAACCAGAGTTTTGAGTATTCGAAATTTAGCATCTGAAGGGAAGCTTAAGAAAAAAAACAATTTTCCGCTGTCACACTTATTTATCGATAGAAACGGACTGTTCTACAGTTGTATGATGTGTTCATAAATTGGTAACCGCACAAAAAAAAATCGATGAAAGGTTAATAAAACCAGACCAGGTGTCCTATATGTTCTTAGGTGTCGCTGAACACGAATCTGAAGTCCGCTTTGCTCCATCACGTCAGGATTTGATTCCAACCACAAAACACATTGCGAAACTTAATGAACTCCTCCAAGAGGCCTTCTGAAGTACGTCCTATAAAAGCCCTTCTGGAAGGCCTTCTATGGGTAGCGAAATAAAAAGCCCTTCAATTGATAACAACCCTTACAAAAATGAAAGGAATGTAGAGTGGAAGGCCTCTTAACTCTCAGGAAGGCTTTTCGGGAGGACTTTTAACTCCTGAAATCATCTACTGGGTTATAAAATTATGGGTATTTATTGCAACCATGCACGACGAACATTTTGGCGAGCACGTTCACAACTGGCATTCGTCTACATATTTAATTTGTTCCTGTAGTCCCCCAATCCCGCTTATCCCGCAAGTGTAATCCCTCATTTCTGATCCCAAAAAATGGCGCGGGATCCCGCATTTGCGAGAATGGATTCCCTAGTTGCAATATTTTGTGACCCACTTTTCCATACTTGTTTATTTTCTGACATCATATAAGCCGAAAACTGGGTTGATGAACGAACTCGAAAATATAAATCAGTTAGCATAGAGAAACCAGTTGAATCATATGGATATTTGGCAATGCTTTGAGAAAAACGTCAACGGCTCTGATACTGCTTACAGTTTTTGTAGTGATGTCGATAGTCAAACGATGGGTAGACAAGGCAGCGACCGTACAAGAAAGAAGGCAGCGATTTAGAAATAGAGATATATTTACAGCTACCTCTTATACCCAGACAAAAGATCCGTTATTGGTGGAAGCATAGTCGCAAAGAATTTCAAATTTTGTTTACACTGGCAATGAAGTATCTCTGCGCACCAACTTCCTCATTGAACTCAGAAATACTTTTGAGAGGGGCAGCATTTATGTTGAACATAGAAATACGTTGTTGGCCGTTGTTGACAAAACAACTAGCACAGGGTCGCATTTATCTTGCTGTGCTATTATGCAAAATATATATGTACATGGGTTCCGACGTTGCATATTTTGCAGCGGTAGGATTTGTTGTTTCCTATGCATTTTGTTGTTGTGTGTTTGCAAGCTATACAATCCGTGCTACGTGCAATGGCTTTGCAAGATTTGGAGAATACCCCTATTTTGTATATACATATTTTGCATCAATACAAAGCAACATTCAACTTGGAACTCGCCCATACCCCAAAAAGCTTAGGGAAATGATGCTGGAGTGACAGTCCTTGGCCAGAAAAGGATGCGGGTTGTCACAATAACCGTAGACCAGGCTGATATGGGAACAAATAACGAATGGCATCAATATGTTTAATTAGTTGATTTTAGTTTTAATAATTCGTAGTACGTACATATTTACTTATTTAGCTTATGGCTTCACTATTCTATTTATATCTATTTTACAGAAAATAATATATTGAGCCATTTCATTCCCATCTGTCTGCACTTTCTTATTAGTGTGGAAACTTTTACAGGGTGTTGGAGTAAATCTGATTCAGTAGGTTTGAAATTATTCAGAAAGATAATAGAATTAAGTTTCTCTTAAATTATGTAGAAGTCTTAAATAGTTCGATAAATAGCTAACCGAAATTTATATTAAATATTTTGCGAGTTTCGAGTTTACAGAATTTAGCATCGTCGAGATGTAAATAGTTTCCAATACCATCAGCATAACCTCACTTTTTCCATACAAACCATTTTCTCGCGTATAAATGCCAATAAAGACACTCTTAGCAATTATTGTTTGATATGATGATCATTTAATATACATTTCTTTACTTCGAAAGTACACTTAACAACTTAAAATAATTCCTTAGGCATATCGAGTTAATTTCAAAGACAGGTGAATCAGAAAATTTTAACAATCGTATATATTTTCCAATAAACTGTTACTAATAAATTACAGATTTTTTTGCCCACTAACAGGTCTATTCTGCACGTTACCGAAGATTTTGTAACCGGAAAATTGTATTACCAAAAAATTTTACCAGTTCTTGTCACCGCGATTCTAGGTACGTTGGTAATGCAGTTAAAATATTCAGCAATCCAGCTATGAAGAATTGTTCAAATCCTGGCATTGCATATTTCACGGGGCAACAATTTGTTACCAGTTTATGAGCTGGTAACAAAATTTATCGGTTACAAGAGTACACAGAATGCGAAAAGGGTTTAAAAATTGGCAGGTACTTTATTTACTGGTTACAAACTTTTTATCACCAGCGCAGAATAGACCTATAAGGGCCATTTTCATCGTGTAAAGTTAACTTGCCTTCGGAAGTTAAGTCTCATTTTTTGTTAACTGCCGAATGCGAGTAAACTCCCCACTATGAAAGCGGCACTTACTCGAAAGGGTATAGAATTGATCTGGGAACTAAAATCATAGTACTTGTTATATAATTCAAATGGCTCAAAGTGAGCAGTATAAATCAAATAAAATTATTATAAGTATTCGGTCTTAATAAAAGTCTTTAATAATAATAAATCCTCTGCCGGATGCACTCGACCTTATTTTGCATATTTCACATACATATTGTCACTATCAGAGTAAAATAACCTATTTATGGCCGTTTTCTTAACCTGTAACTTTAAAGATCACTCAATCCAACCTTTAAATATAAAGCGAGGTTTAAATTTACAAGGTTGCTTCAGAAAACGGCCCTTAACATATTTTCAGAAGTTAATTTTTTTTTTTAATATTCCGTTAGCTGACTCTCAGATACAGCTCGAAACCAAAGTTCAAGTCCATATCTTAATATCTTAAAGCAGAGTCACAAGATTGTACAAAATAGATTTGTACATTTTATATTGGGGCATTAGTTAAAAATATAAAAATTGGACGTTTTATTTTTTTGGTACAATACAGCGAACTTTTTTATGAAAAATTTGAACCATTTGTTTTCGGTGATTGGGAAAAATTGATTGAGAAAATAGTGCATTCACCCGATTGGTATATGGACTTGCCCCAATCGTGTGACTCTGCCTTTAAACAAAAACATTAATTTTTGGCATATTTAGAACAGATGTGCTGTCAATTTAAATGTTTTTTCTTTGTTTTTAATTGAATCCAAATTTGTCAAATAGGACCATTTCCATTGATAGTGACGATATATAACCCCTTGTCCCTAATGGAGTTCATACACATGCTTGTGTCATGCCTTCCATCTGCCTTAAGCGTAACCTTTTTTCTAGGTTATCATCTCGTCATTAACAAGCAATATTACTAAATATGTACATATTGTACATCCATTATAAGTCTTAAGAATCTACATTTTAGTTCTAATTTAAACGCTGTCTCTTAACGGTAACCGTGCGATTTTGTTGTTGAGACGTTGTTTGTTGAAGCGCCTTCTGTGCTTGCGCATTCATAGGCATTGCCTCGGCAAGCATAGCAACAGTGCGTCGCAATTCCGCCAGTTCGGCTTGCATTTTATCAATATTCGGCCTATATGAAAGTAAAGCAAAGAAATTAGTAATTCTTCAATAAACAAGAGCTGCCCTACAAAATACACTCACTTGTCCCCCGTAGGTGCACCAGTAACAGGCAAATTCTGTAAATTCGCCAAGGGTACAGGTGTGATTAAGGGCACCGTGGGCGCTGCAGGAGCTGGCGGCGGTTGCACCTGCACTGGCGGCACATTTGCATCCACCATTTGGCCACATGTCTCCCTGCTTGCCACAGCTGTTATCTTCAAATTCGGATGCATACGCATAGGTAATTGTATAGCTGATGACTTTATTGCACCAGCACTTGTGCCACTGGATGCAGATGCTTGCGTGGCATTGACGCGTGCATTTACGCTAGCTGTGTTAATAGTTGGCGTTATTGTACCAGATGCGGCTACTGCGTTTGTAGTAACCACCGCCGGGCGTGAATTTACGGTTGACGCTGGGTTTATGGTGTTTACACCTATTGGAGTCGGTGCATTACCGCAATTTATAGGTATACTGGGGCCATGTCCTGCCATTAATTTCTTCAACATTTGATCAGCACTCACTTTTTGCGATTCAAGTAGTTTACGCATTGTTGCCGGATCACCTTCGTTAATTTTGCGCAACGAATCACCATCCGCATCAACGACAACATAGTTTACAATGTGTGCATGAGTGTTTGGTACAATGCGGAAAATTGTTTTGGCTTGCACAGTTGTGTTCGGATTGGGATTTTTCAAATCACTCAACTTTGCCGAATTACCCTCAACTTGGAACACTGTTGTGAAACCATTTATGAGCATTGGCTTCTCCATAACCGTGGGTTCTGTGACAAATTGTGTAATCTTGCGCTTAGGCACCATAGAAACTAGTTTGATGACATTGCAATCGGTATTTTCACAACGACGCTCAACATTGTTGCCACCTCCGCCACCACCACCTGTGTTTGAAGAGCCACCACCAGCGTTTGCGGAGTCATTGGCCGATGGGTTAGATAGAGTTGCTAAAGCAGACATTGCAAATACTAATTATGACTCTGTATTCTCCTTAGCTGAATAGCGAAGTCTAAAGAAATCTGGCGCTTGTAAAATCTTATAGCACACGTAAAAGCTGTAAAAATGTTGGTTAGAACAGGATTTATAATTCACGTTTTATTTTGCTTACATTTTACACAATCCGCAGTACGGCGTTTGCTCTATAAACAAAACTTTTAGAAGCGCTGAATTGCTGCCAGCCCCAATAGTTTTGAAGCCACTGTAGGAAAAAACCCAAAACGAGAAAAACGGCCAGTGCAAAATCCTGGTCTTGTAGACTTCTAAATCGTTTTTGACGATATTTTCGATGAATCCTTTTTTTATTTACGCACTTGATTAACAAAAAAAAAAACGAAATTCTGCACTATTTATGAAATCAGTCGAGTAGTATAGTGACATCAAATCTCTCAAAAACTCAGTATAAGCCGATAATTTTATATCATCAAAAACTCCTAGATAGCAGTTAGTGTTAATTCAAGCTTCACAAATGTTTTTTCATATTTATTTTATGCACAAAATGCCTTTTTTTATTAACATAAATATTTCACAACCGAACCGCACGCCAAATTCATTAAAACTGCTAACGCCGACAAACAACGAATTGCTCGTTCAAAAATTAACTCGTTATTTCATCTTCCTATTCGTGGTGAATTTGTCTTTTTCCCATCGATTACACGAGAGTAAGTGAGCAAACTAGTAATTTTGCTACTCGCTGATATATGAACCGTTTCATAAAAATCCATGATGGCCGCCAATGCATGTGCACACATTTGACGTGAGTGCGTTAGAGCGAGAGCGCAAGCCGCCAGGGAACTACTTGCGCTGCTCAATTTCGTGCAATTTTTGTAAACGTGTAGGTAAATCCATGATGGCTGCCACAAGCGCCATAGCAACGAAACGGTTGACGTTTGTATGACAAACAAGTTGAGGTTGCATTAATTGAGGCTGTTTGAAAGCGACAAGTTGCAGTTGCTGCTCGAAGTTCGACAAAACTTGCAACAAGCTGCAGAGAACTTCAAACAATTAAAATTTTGCAGAAAACTGATTTTGGCTTCTCTGGAGATATTGGTGGAAAATTACAAAATTCAGAAAATACATAAATTAATTAAGCCAATTTTTATGCTCAAGACTTTGAGACATAGTTTGAGAATTACGTTTATGAACGAAAATCGTCTGTCAGACTTTTTTATCAAAATAACTTATAACCGTGCAGATCGTGGTGCAGAGAATAGTGGTGGCGGTAAACTCCAACTTAAAAAGTTCAATAATTTATTAATTGTAGTGTTTTCTCATAGTCAATAGTCAATGCTATCCGCATCTGGAACTCTATTCCATCTCATATTCGCAGTAGTTTAATTAAAAGCAAAAATAAAAAATTTTTTATATGCGTACCTATTTCCGTTAGCCTGACTTCACTTACTTATTTATCTGATGTTACTTTTATTTAGTTTTCAGCAATTTTTGTCGTTTTAGTTATATGTAAGCATGTATTTACTGTTAGGAATATTATCTTGCGCTATAAAAGAGCTATCTTTTGATCTTTTGCTAATGAATTGATTAATAAATGAAATGAAATTGTCAACCTTTATTATTATGTATTATTAAAAATATTGACCGTTTACTAAAAATTTAAAGTTTTTCGTGTCTCCGGCTTTCCCGTGAAATCTTCAAGAAACTAGCAACAGTTACACATTAGCATACTTAATTCTCCGAGTCGAGAGTTTTAGAGGTTTTAAGGTTATCGAGATTTTCCTGTTACTTGTCAATAGACTATTTTTCAATATTCGATTCGTACGTATGTATGTATAAGAATAAAAATTTTCGCCATTGAATATAAGAACTTGCACTTGTTAGTTTCCATGTCGCCAACAGCCTACCAACAACGCAAAGGTCACATTAAATATAAAATATGCACGAGTTTGTTTAGGAAAGCTCATGGGGTAGAAAACTCATTAACGTTAGGAAACAATTTCAGTAAATAAAGTAACGAATGACAAAATCAAATACATACATATGTACATATATAGAAAAAAAATCACTGAAAACAGCTGCACCAACCAACCAACCACCTACGCAATTCCAAACTATACCGCACCCTTATTGACATTACATATGTAGATACATATCGTCGTTTAAAGTACAAAACCGCGTATCAACAAAATGCAAAACCGCGTATCAACAAAATGCAAAACTACGTATGTGAGGTTGCATAAATTATTTTCTACATACATATTAAAAACACTCATATTTCAAAATGGTTCTCTTTTGTTATAAAGCAATCGCGTTTCTAGCTAGTATACATATTTCAGGACGAATGGATAAGGACTGGGCCAAGAGCTTGTGTGAGAGCAAATCCAGTTTTTGGCAGCAAATGTCAGTTACGCGGTTTAGCAGAATGACGATACGCGGTTTTATACTTTAAATGACGATATTCAGTACTTAAAATATATATTTACATATGTACATAAGTAGTATGCACATTAGTAGTACGTGCATTTAGCAATTTCGTTCTCCCATATGAGCAACTTGAACAAACGTATGACACTTGTTAAATTATCGATTTTTCACTTTCCTGCAATTACATACTGACAATGCCGAAAGTCCCCAATATGCCAAAATAAGCAGATAAAGAAAACTTGCGAGGGCTTTCCATAAGTACTATGCACATACATAAATATGTATTTATGTACATATGTCTACATGTCTATATGTATATCGTGAAAAGTCACAAAATTAATGAATGGAAATCTAAATGCAAATTTTTAGACTTGCCGGAATTTCACAGAAAAGTAGAAACGAGATACTGCACCTCAAATGCAAATACATATCTACCTACCACAATAAAAGGTAGTACGGAGATAAGTAGTAAGCAAATACGAAAATATACCAACTACATAATACATACATATGTACAATTATACTTACATAAATACATATGTGCATATTTTTAAACCAAGAATTATTACACCTATAGAAAATGGGGGGAAAAAATTAACCGCCGGAGTAATATTAAATGACAATAGTGCAAAGTTATAGCGAGTTTCCGTTTGTAGCAGTTGAAATGTGGCAACATCGCATCACTTAATGAATGACATTAATTTTTCACACAGCAATTAAGCCAGTCAGCATCGTTAACAACAGTAGCAATTTTTATACTAAGTATAAAACAAATTGATGAAACATTCGGACATCACTAGAAAAAAGCAAGAAATAATTGAAGAATTGTGGTTTTAATTAATAAAGTTGTCTAAGGGCAAAAAGCAAAGGACTGGCCGAGCACACTGTGCCTACCCTGCAAAAAATGGGACTAATCCGGGATGAGTCCGGGCGCAATCGCAAAGGAGCATGCGACTAAAACCACTTTTGATCTCTTTATATGAAATGAACTGATCGCTTTTGTTCGAGCATGTCCTATGAAGAGACTAATTGTTCACCTTTATACCCGAACGGGTATAAAAAGCGACTATTCACTTTTAAAAAATAAAAATAAAAATTTGCGCCAGCTGAGATTCGAACCGGGGTGCTCAGTTTTGTTAGGCGAATACTCTCTCTGTGTGAAGTGCGTACATATCATTAAATCGGTAATAGTACCCGTTAGAGATGAGTTGGGGACTAATTGATCTCCAATTATACCCATAAGGGATGAGTCGAGACTAATTGACCTCCATTAGTACACGTATGAGACTAGTTGGGACTAATAAATGTACCCGTTGGGAGTAATCTCGGAATACTCTCTTTAGAGATTAGTCGCACAATTTTTTGCAGGGTAGTTTGGATATATAGTGCAACATTTGAAGTCGAGTCGCGAATAACGTTGTCTAAGCCACAGAACCTTTTTTTGCAGATTCCCGTTAACATTATCTACTCTCTTACATTGCTCAAACACCATTTTGCGTAATGGAAAAACGTTTTAACCATCGAGCTTTGGATATGAAACGTTTTTCACTGTAAAAACTTTATGTGAGTAAATTTACATTTAATTTGAAGTTAAAACTTCTGGCAAAGTGGCAAAATATATCATTCTGAAATGGGCGGTCATTATACGATATATTAGAGATGGGAGCGGGATATCGGAGCCAACGGTATCGATTTTAAAATGGCGGGATGGGCGGTATCGGGAAGGTCTTTAAAAAATTTTCGGGCGCGACATTACCCAAAATCCTTTCCCGACACTCCGATAAAACCCATAACCGCCGCAAATACAGAAAATCTTCCTTAAAAACGTTCTTTGAAATAAGCACCTTTTAGATTTTATTGAGACGAAAACGAACAGCAAAGTAAGGAAGATAAAATAATCGGAAGATGCCAGATCTTTCCATTATCTTTTTTATTATTTAAATTAATTTGAAAGACAGTGGAATTTTTCTAAGTGATAGATTTTGGGACCCACGGGACCCGCGGTAAAATTGTGAAAAACGTCGAAATGGGCGGGTCGGGTCTTAAAAATTTAATTTCGGGATCGGGATTGAATATTTAGTCCTGTGCCCATCCCCACTCAAGCCCATTCATCGTCAAGCTATCTTCTTGTTCAAATACAGACAGTCGTCTACACTAATCCCTGTTATGAATCTCAGGTTAATCTTTTGAAGGGATATTAGTTATTTTGGAATTATAGCTTCCAAGAAGTTCTTTCGCCTGCCTCAATCCAGGTTTTTCTCCCAGTGTGCTATTCTTTGTCGACGCTCTTCTGCTCGTTGAATATGGAGAAGCAACTATCTGGAAGTATTTTACATAAAAAATTTACTAAGTATAGCCTTGTTTGTAGAGGCAGTTAAATAAAATACATACATGAAAAGGTCCGATTTTTTTTTTTATTAAAAAAAAATTCAATATTTCAAAAACGGTGACACTTTTACCTGAAATTTTTTGCTTATTAGGGAGCTCATCCCCCACCTAACTTCACCACAAGTTTGGCAGGTTACTTCTTGGACATCCTGTAGGTATATGTACATATGTGCATACATATAAAAAATCCAGTACTAATAAAAAAACAAAAATAAAAACATGAGGTAATGCACAGCAAAAATATTTAAACAACTCCAACTTGCATCGCAACAGTGAGCAATAAATTTTCATTTTCACGAGCATAGACAAAAAAACTGAACCAAAAAATAAACAAACACAAATAAGTAAATACATACATATGTACATATATACATAGTAAAAATGCATAAAATTAATGAATGCACATATTAATGTAGATATGCAGTTTGTTTGAGCAGACAATAGCGGCACAATAGCAAAACATATTTATGTATGTATGTATATACACATCTACATAGTGACCCTGCAGTAAAATTTTGAGACTGTCTGTCAAAGCGCTAGTTCCGAACTACATATCGTCGCTGCGCCAACAAAAACAGTTATGTGTTTTTAATAACTTTTCAGGAGAGCAAAAAAACTGATTCCTGGTGCCAGTGGGCAATATTTTGCAAATATCGTATTAAAAAATGTTTACGAAAAATAGGTTATTGATTTATGAAAAAATAAGGAAATAAATTATTTTGACCAATTACGACGTAATCAACATTTGCGCCGCTTTAAAACACATAGGGGGCCGTCGGGCCCCTGCCAAAAGCCCGG